ACTGTCTCGCGGGGGCGAGACAGTGAAAACTGTCTCGCGGGGGCGAGACAGTGAAAACTGTCTCGCCTGGGCGAGACAGTAAAAGTCTGTCTCGCCGGGCGAGACAGTAAAGACTGTCTCGCCAGGTGAGACAGTAAAGACTGTCTCGCCTGTGAGACAGTCTATACTTGTGTTCTTTTGCCTTTTTGGATGATTTCCTCTTGAGCTGTATTTGGATATCTTTCAGCATTTTTTGACGCCTACAGATACCCCCTCCAAAGTATTCCAGACTCATTCTTTTATAGAGGAGTTCTGGGATACTTTGGATAAGATAAGTCTTGCTTACGATCCCTTCCATGCTTGGTTGAGTAGATCGTGTAGAGGAACCCGTAGATGGCTTCAACTCTTGACCTCTTTGTCTCTCAATCTATTCAGTACTTTGTAGAATAGCTAAGATTCTTCCGGCGTCGCGTTTATCGCTTGACCGTTGTCGAGATCTTGAATTAAAGCTGGAATTTGTACTTGTGAAATCAGCTCTTGTCATCAAGTTGATACTGCATATACCCGTTTGGGGGTAGTCAGGTTATTCTTAAGAATAGATATTCTCCAGAAACTTCCTTTTGAGGGTAGGAAAACAGTTTAGACTCGTATACCTATTTGGAGTATTCAGGTTATTCTTAAGAATATTCTGAGTGATATTCTCCAGAAACTTCCTGTTGAGATTAGGGAAACAGTTTAGACCCGTGTACCTATTGGAGTACTATGGTCTCTTTTTTGTTGGTAGAGATGAACCCGATGATGGAGAGGAAGAATTTTATATTCTATCTCCTGGTCTCTTGTTTGTTGGTAGAGATAAACCCAGAATCGGAGAGGAAGAATTTTATATTCTATCTCCTGGTCTCTTGTTTGTTGGTAGAGATAAACCCGGAATCGGAGAGGAAGAATTTTATATTCTATCTCTTGGTACAAAGGAAATTTGAAGTGGGATTTCTATTCAGAGAATCTGAATAAGGTTTGATGAATTGAGATTGGAAGCAATCCTAACTTTTATAGGTTTGATTGCGCAAATCAAAGGTGGACCTCTTGTTCATGGAAGGAATCAAGAGGGGATTTTGGTTTTGGTCCTAACTGTTTAAAGGTTTGACCAAGATGGGAATTTGAGACGATCCTAACTGTTTAAAGGTTTGATCGTTCAATTTGTGGACCTCTCGTTCATGGAAGGAATCGAGAGAGAATTTGGCTTTGGTCCTAACTGTTTAAAGGTTTGACCAAGTGGGAGTTTTGTGAGGGAAGATTGATCTAAAGAAGTGATCGAATCTCATCTCAGCAAAAGAGTATTCGGAAGTCATAGTAGGAGTTTAGTGTTTATCACTTTGTTCATAATGATCGGGGTTATCCCTAAGAATATTACATTTAACATTCTTCCGGGAACTTCCCGTTACATACTGTCTCGCGTGGGCGAGACAGTAAAAGTCTGTCTTGCCCGCGAGACAGTAAAGACTGTCTCGCACGGCGAGACAGTAAAGACTGTCTCGCGCGGCGAGACAGTCAAGTCTGTCTCGCACGGCGAGACAGTCAAGTCTGTCTCGCGTGCGAGACAGTAAAGACTTGTGTTTTTTTTTGCCTTTTTGGATGATTTCCTCTTGAGCTGTATTTGGATATCTTTCAGCATTTTTTGACGCCTACAGATACCCCCTCCAAAGTATTCCAGACTCAATCTTTTATAGAGGAGTTCTGGGATGCTTTGGATAAGATAGATCTTACTTACGATCCTTTCAATGCTTGGTTGAGTAGATCGTGTAGAGGAACCCGTAGGTGGCTTCAACTTTTGATCTCTTTGTCTCTCAATCTATTCAGTGCTTTGTAGAATAGTTAAGATTCTTCCCGGCATCGCGTTTATCGCTTGTCCATTGTAGAGATCTTGAATTAAAGCTGGAACTTGTACTTGTGAAATCAGCTCTTGTCGTCAAGTTGACACTGCATATACCCGTTTAGGGGTAGTCAGGTTATTCTCAAGAATATTTTAACTGATATTCTCCAGAAACTTCCTGTTGAGGGTAGGAAAACAGTTTAGACTCGTGTACCTATTTGGAGTATTCAGGTTATTCTTAAGAATATTCTGAGTAATATTCTCCAGAAACTTCCTGTTGAGATTAGGGAAATAGTTTAGACTCGTATACCTATTGGAGTATTCTGGTCTCTTGTTTGTTGGTAGAGATGAACCCGAAATCGGAGAGGAAGAATTTTATATTCTATCTCCTGGTCTCTTGTTTGTTGGTAGAGATGAACCCGATGATGGAGAGGAAGAATTTTATATTCTATCTCCTGGTCTCTTGTTTGTTGGTAGAGATGAACCCGATGATGGAGAGGAAGAATTTTATATTCTATCTCCTGGTCTCTTGTTTGTTGGTAGAGATGAACCCGATGATGGAGAGGAAGAATTTTATATTCTATCTCCTGGTCTCTTGTTTGTTGGTAGAGATGAACCCGATGATGGAGAGGAAGAATTTTATATTCTATCTCCTGGTCTCTTGTTTGTTGGTAGAGATGAACCCGATGATGGAGAGGAAGAATTTTATATTCTATCTCCTGGTCTCTTGTTTGTTGGTAGAGATGAACCCGATGATGGAGAGGAAGAATTTTATATTCTATCTCCTGGTCTCTTGTTTGTTGGTAGAGATGAACCCGATGATGGAGAGGAAGAATTTTATATTCTATCTCCTGGTCTCTTGTTTGTTGGTAGAGATGAACCCGATGATGGAGAGGAAGAATTTTATATTCTATCTCCTGGTCTCTTGTTTGTTGGTAGAGATAAACCCGATGATGGAGAGGAAGAATTTTATATTCTATCTCCTGGTCTCTTGTTTGTTGGTAGAGATGAACCCGGAATCGGAGAGGAAGAATTTTATATTCTATCTCCTGGTACAAAGGAAATTTAAATTGGGATTTCTATTCAGAGAATCTGAATAAGGTTTGATCAATTGAGATTGGAAGCAATCTTAACTTTTATAGTTTTGATTGCACAAATCGAAGCTGGACCTCTCGTTCATGGAAGGAATCGAAAGGGGATTTTGGTTTTGGTCCTAACTGTAGTAAGGTTTGACCAAGTTGGAGTTTTGAGACGATCCTAACTGTTTAAAGGTTTGATCGTTCAATTTGTGGACCTCTCGTTCATGGAACGAATCGAGAGGGGATTTTGGCTTTGGTCCTAACTGTTTAAAGGTTTGACCAAGATGGGAATTTGAGACGATCCTAACTGTTTAAAGGTTTGATCGTTCAATTTGTGGACCTCTCGTTCATGGAACGAATCGAGAGGGGATTTTGGCTTTGGTCCTAACTGTTTAAAGGTTTGACCAAGATGGGGATTTGAGACGATCCTAACTGTTTAAAGGTTTGATCGTTCAATTTGTGGACCTCTCGTTCATGGAACGAATCGAGAGGGGATTTTGGCTTTGGTCCTAACTGTTTAAAGGTTTGACCAAAGGAGGGTTTGAGAGGGAAGATTGATCCAACGAAGTGATCGAATCTCATCTCAGCAAATGAATATTCGGAAATCACCGTGGGGATGTAGTGTTTAACACTTTGTTTGTAATGATCGGGTTATTCCTAAGAAAATTACATATAGCATTCTTTCGGGAACTTCCGTTACATGAACCATCCACCCCCAGCTTTTTCTTGTGAAACTGAGTTTATCATTATGTTTAGCTATATGATCGGGTTATCCTTAAAAGTACCATGCATGGCATTCTTCAGGAACTTCCCGTGAAAGAAAGGAAATAGTTTAGACTCATATACCTGTTGGAGTATTAAGGAGCAGTTTATACTCGTATACTTTTCGGAGTGAGGGGAAACAGTTTATACTCGTGTACCCAATGGAGTTTTATGGTCGTCTTTACTCGACTTCTTTCGTCGTTATGACGCCGGAGTCAATTAGGGCTTGGATCTTGTTTTTGAGTCCAAAGCAAATCTCAGTGGGATGAAGAACCCTTCTGTGGTACGCACAGTAATTTGGATCCATAATCATTTTAGCACCATCCTGATCTTTAATAGGTGGTAGCTCGATTTTGTCATTAGCGAGGAGGTATTCCAAGATGGCTGGAGCTTCATCATCTTCGAAAGAATATTCCTTTTGAAACCTCGGATCGAGAGTCGCATTCTCAATGATTGCAGATGTCATTGGTTGGCCTCTCTCAGCTTTCTTTCTTTTAAGAAAGTGCTCAGCTTGTTCACCCCGAGATTTTAACTCCTTCCAAGTTGTGGATGGCACGACCCCCAGAGCTTCCAGGACATCGATGGAGAGGTTATTGTGACATGTTTGCAGGATGAACTCCTCTGTAATAGGATCTCTGCAATTCATCGCCATGTTACGGAAACGCTTGACAAAATTGTCGACTGACTCTCCGTCTTTTTGCTTCTCATCCAAAAGAGTTCCGATTGACACTTCGGTGTCATCATCGAAGAAGTTGCTGAGGAACAAACTTTCCATGTCATCCCAGCAATTGATGCTCCCTGGCTTGAGCCGTCGGTACCAATCGAAGGCGGGCCCACGAAGGGTGCCAACGAATGACCGGATCATTAAGGCCTCGTTTCCAGAGATTATGCCCAAATGAGACTTGAAATAAATCAAGTGTTGAATCGGCGAACTCTTCCCCTCAAACGGTGTGAAGTTAATCAGATTGAATTTGGTCGGGTATGGTATTGAATCCCATTCCCTCGGATAAGGACATGGAATACCCGTCTTCTTAACTTCTTGAGCCGTCATCAAAGCATTGATTTTGTCTTCAAGTTTTTGCATTTTCCCGTCATCGTCTTCATTTCTTTCTGAATGATGTCGAGTAAAGATAATTGGACCACCCCCAGTGAGAGGTGCTATTGAACCACCCCCAATATCGTTATTGGGAGGATCCGTTAAACCACCCCCAGCGTTATTGCCATTGGGAGGTGTGTCAGCCATAATGACTTCATCCACCTCTGGATCACTGTCATCTAGAACATTCCGAGTGTGGTGGCTGGATTCAGCTTGCTGATTGGACTCAGGAAGTTGAGGTTGTTGAGTTAGCAACTCTCTCATTTGTTGAATAGCTAACCCCATCTCTGTCTTTATCTCAGCTCTAATTTCTTCACGTTGCTTTGTTAGCGCTTCCTGAAGTATTTGAGCAAATTGATCAGAGGTGATCATGAGTACTTCTCTGGTATCATCAGAAGCGATTGCAGAATAAGTGTCCGAGAATTCATCCTCCGAGGACATTCCTTCTTGCATTCTCTTATAGTCTCTGCGTCTGATGGCTCCTAATTGGAGTCGAGACATCCTTTGAGCAATTCTTGGATTGACTTTTCCTTTCGGAGAAAAGTCGGGATTTGAGTCACTCGAATACCGTTTAGACTTTCTTTTATCAGTCATGTTGATGGTGACTTCAGGGAATTCATCATCTTGAGCAGCTGATTTTCTCTCGCGGAAATGTCTCGGCTTAGGCTTCGACGATACAGAGACTCTTCGTGGGATGGCTTCTTGTTTGAAACAATCACATCCTGATAATGCTGTTTTGACGAGTCGTGCACAGGAACAACGAGAGTTTATCTCTCGAATAACTCTCTTTCGAAAATTATTCACAACCTCAACTTGATAATACGATTCATCGGTATGATTGCCAAAAAATCGTATCGTCTGTTGGTATGATCTCCCAGGTATGACGATATCATTTGGTGAATGCGTCTTCTTCTGGGAGTATAAAACCTTGTTGGCATTCTCAGGACAATTTATTTTTGTCCTTGAGCGATCCAAGGTTATGTCAGGAGTCGCACGTCGGGTCTTAACGGGCTCCGAATGCTGATTTGGCATAAGTCCAGACTTTAGAATCCAAACTTGGCGGAGTTTTGGTGATTCTTTGGTCACCATTTCCTTCCTCCTTTCTCGTCTTTGTTGTAAGAGAGCACGGGCATGAACAGCGTTTGCACGACGTTTTTGTATACGTTCTTTGAGGGTCGAACGAACCCTTTTGACAAAAGTCCATTCATCTGTCGTTATTTTAGCAGAGATACGAGTGATTGGTTGTTGAGACAACTGAACCACTCGATGTCTCCTCGACTCTAGGTCCGCGTGGTAACTCCGCATAATAACGAACTCCATCGGTTTGTTCAAATGCCTTAGCTATTTGACGAGCACGACGCTGACGCTGTCTCTGACGAGCTCTTTTTGTCAATGTCGGCGGGCTTTGATTCGATGACTCTTCAACTAGATAAGAGCCATTGTGAGCAGAGGTGTTGCGAGTGAAATTCTCAGCAACAATCAAGCGAGAGTCTTCATTTTGTGCCTTCTTTGGCATGCAACTCTTCCTCAATTGTGAGATCCTCTTGTACTTGCGAGATAATGAAGATCTTGAAGAGGATGATGAGAGATATTCCTCAAACTTGGTCTGGTCGAATTCGTATTCGACCATGGATTCAACTGGAATCTTGATCGGCTGCGACACGACGGTCTCGGCAGCGAGACCGTTGGCTCCCACTGTGGTCGCCAGCTTGTTTGAGTCAAAAGTTGGTTTTGTCATGGAATTCATTATATCTTCGGTCGATTACAATAAATTCAAAGAAAACAGCCTTTTTATAAGACTCTTTTACACAACAAAAAGTAGACCTCTATTATTTTTGGATGGGACCTTCTTGAAAAATAGATACAAAGGCCTGCTCCTGAGCGCTGTAGCATATGATGGAGACCAAGGGATATTTCCACTTGCGTATTGCATATGTGATCAGGAAAACGTTGATAATTGGAGATGGTTCCTGCAAGGCTTGTGGTCTATACTGTACGAAAGGCCAGACCCATATAATCCTCCCCATCAACTGGTTATTATTTCTGATGCCGACAAGGGAATCCAAGAAGCGGTGAGAGAATATTTTACTGAAGCAATTCACTCAAGATGTGTTCTGCACCTGGTTGAAAATTTTAGATCTAAGCTAAAGGATTTGGGATTGAAGGCAAAGGACACACATGTTTTGGGGAATTTGCTCCAATCAGCTTGCTATAAATACACTGTTGCGGAATGGAACGACTACATGAAGGATATATATGAGATGTCTCCAGCTGCATATGAGATTGTAATTAACTACTCGCCAGAGCATTGGGCGAATGCCTTCTTCCCTGGCATTAGGTACTGCCCTCAATCATTTCTAGTGAATATCCCCTTTTGCAGGTTAACTATCGGTGATATATGTTATCGTTTATCACTATATGTTAACTTTCATGTTATTATGTTAACTTTTCCTACTAAAGGGAAAGTTTGGTGGTTACGTGTTAATCTTATTATATATTGGATGCTGAATGAGACTTTGTTTTATTTTGATGTTTGCAGATATGGTCATGTAGCCTCTAACGTTGCAGAATTCTTTAACAGCTGGATACGTGAAGCTCGAATGCTGCGTATCCTGCAAATGGTGGAGCATATCCGCAAGCAAATTATGACTTGCATGAACAACAGACGCATAATGGCTGAAAAGTGGACAAGCTATCTTTGTCCTAAAGCTGAGTAGATTGTTAGAGAACATATGGAAAGAGGATCTACGTTAGAGATTAAGCAATCTAGAGATGATATATTCGAAGTGCAATCACAGAGAACCACTCACGTTGACTTGGGGAAGAGGACATGCACTTGCCGTGCTTGGGACTTAACTCGTATTCCTTGTGTGCATGCTTGTGCAGTCATCATTTATATGAAAAGAGAGGTATATCAGTATTGTGACTGGTTCATGTCCGTAGAGGCGTTTAAGAAGAGCTACGATGAAATATTATATCCCATACCAGATTATGAGATGCGTAGTGTGCCCAGGGATGAAATCCAGATTTTTCCACCAATTACCACGAAGAGGAGGGGAAGAAATAGAACAAGACGCATAAACAACAGAACCATCTTGAAACGTCCTGTCAAATGTGGTCGATGCAAGAGGGAAGGGCGCAACCGAGCAACTTGTAACGAGCCCATCCATGATTAGTGTGCCATGCTTACGAAGAGGAGGAATGGCGCTAGAGAAATATAAGTTGTATTTAAGTTTCCATTATACTAATGGGAGATTTTTGTGCTCTGCTGCCAGACAGCAGGAGGTTTTGAATTTTGTACTTAAACATGTTAACATATAACTATCTCTATACTACTACTACTTTTAGCTGAATTTGTTAGCATAAAGGCCCACTGTTTGAGGTTAAATTGCTGTCAGCTCTCAAATCTACGTGACTGTTCAACGGCTAGTTGGTTTACTGTTCCAACAGACATATTCCAACGGCTAGCTACTTGTTCCATTTGCTTTATATAATGTTATGCAAGGCTCAAGTAAAACCATATCTCTTGTTCCCTCCCTCCCTTTATAGCTCATTTAGAGACTAAGATGAAGACCGAGGATGGCTCTCAATCAGTAGAAGAGCCATGTTGTTTCTGCAAGCTTCCAACTCCCCTCAAGCAGTGCAAAAATGGGAGCAACAAAGGTAGATACTTCTGGCGATGTGCAAAGTTCCCAAATAGGCAATGCAAGTTTTTTGCTTGGGCTCACAATGTCAATGCAATGAAGGAGAACATGACTGTTCACCAAGAAGCACCCGCTGAAGATGAGATAGTAGCCAAGGTAAAATATTTGAAGAAAGCATTGAAGCAGTCTAAGCGTGAAGTTGGAAAATGGAAAACTTGTTCGTGCTTTCTATGTTGTTTTTGTGTTGTTCTAATTTGCTTAAACATTGTGATATGCAAGCTGAAAATGAACTGATATATGTGCAGTTCATAGCGGAACACTGAATCGTCTAAAAATCGCTCTTCGTTTTGTTAGTTTATTGGCTATCAATTTGTAAATTTTTCCCTGAATTGGTTAGCTTTCAGAGCTGTTTGATCTAATCCAAAGTGGGTAGCTGAGCGGTTGACATGTTAAATTTTGTACAATTTGGTTTAGAACGGCAGGTTTAACTTCCAGTGTAACTGGTTAACTATTTCTGGCGCTGGTTAACCTCCAGCGAAGCTAGTTAACGTTTACTGAATCTGGTTAACTTTTTCTGAAATTGGTTAACTTTCGCCTACACTGGTTAACTTTTGTTGTAACTAGTTAACTTTTGCTGAAAGTGGTTAACTTTTGTCCAATCTAGTTAACCTCCTCCATAAACTGACTAGCTTACAGCAAAATTAAAGAGTGCATGTCAAGCAGGTAGTATCGGACATATCCATAACAATCCGTTTCAATTACATCATAATGTTAGAATCATCTTTCACCCACCATGTGCTTCAATCTTCGTTTGATGTCTCTGTTCCCATCCTTCCTCAAGAAGTTTGGCTGTAAGCCTGGCACGCAAGACGGCCGAATTATCTCCGGGATTACTTACCAGAATCGCATCAATCCCATTGATTATAGCCTTCATGTATAAGGGAATGAAAAGCCCACAATCAAAACTGCAACGCGGAGATGCAATAACAGTTCTGTTAGATATGTGTTATGGGATGCAATAGAATTAAATTCAAGTTTGTAAATTACTAACATTCCAGATTGTTGCTCGCAAGGGACGCCCTCATATCTAAACTTCCTCCAAACATTGTCTGGATCAAAACCAGCCTTCATATGGTCCATGAAGCCAATTACTTTATTCACCGGTTCAATATATGCATCGTGGGTAGCTGAGCTGTAATGCTTGACAACGTCCTCATCCAACCTGACTTCAGCAAGATGCCAATGGTCCTGACGCACAAGCGGGATAAGGAGTACACTCTTCCTCGCAGCAATATGCTTTTGTATAAATGAAGTATATATGTGTGGGAAATCAGGAGTGTTTGCATAAAGGTTGTGCTGTATAATCCAAGTATAATGGAATGTTATGCCGGGAGTAAACACGTGTTAAAGAATCATAGTATCGTAAAGTAGATAGCTTACGCAGAAGAAGACTGATACAATCCCATACTTATGGCTCAGGGGAACCGTTTCTGGCCTATCCAGCCATGAGCTTATTCTATCGATCAAAGCTTCCATCACCTGAAAACGGAACATACATAAGACACACATTAGATTGCATAACAACCCTGTCAAATTGTGAGGAAAAATTGCATAAGTGAGGCAATTAAACTTGCATGGTCGTCAATACGCCCCCCTCGTAGTAGGTTGAGAAGCTCTATAGAATCAATACTGCTATTTGACGTATTTAAAATAATACATGACCTGATATATGACAGAAAGATACAAAGATTAACATAAATGATAAAACGTTAGCCTGATTCTGGAAAATTTAACATATAACATTGAACAATAACATGTTATAGCATAAGTTAACATCAATGAGCATAAGTTAACATGTTTCTTTTAACATGAACATGCATATAGAAACCAGAGTTCGCATGGATTGAACTTACTGATGAGCTTTCTGATTGCAAAACTCTAAGACCCATCTGTTCTCCTTTAGAGTGAGCTTTGCCGCTACATGATGGGGTATTCTAAAGTTGTGAACAAAGGTTCCTTTGCTATCAACCAGGCGTATGCTAAAATCATCAACAAAAGGAATCCCCTCGTTCAGCAACTTCAACAGAGCCTCCTCCTTCTTCTTGATTTTTTTGGTTTTTTGAAAATCCCACGTGCATTCACTAGGCTTGCAGTAGTACCTGATTTTTTCCCTATCATCATCCTTCTGATGTGAAATTGTAATTAATTCTGGTTGGGCTATCTTCTTCTTTTCCTCAGTGAAAGGGGTTTGGACTAGCTGAGAACGAGTCCTGATTCTAGTACTTGGTCCCCTTGTTCCCTTCGAAATAACTTTCTTCGACCTCTTTCGATAAACTTGTAATGAGTCCTTCTCCCCCATACCCATCTCCGACACTTTCTCCGCACTGCCCTTCTCTTCTTCCTTCTCTTCCTCAAACATCTGCGGTAGCTCTTCCTCTTTCTCATGTACTTTCATCTCCTGCTCTCTAACTTCCACTTCAAAGTACTCCTCTCTAACTTCCACTTTCTCAGATACCGCTGAATCTACAAGTTTATTCTCCTGCTCTCTATCTTCCTGTTCAAACAGTACTTGCTCTCTATCCTCCTCTCTATTCTCTTGCTCTCTATCTCCCTCACTCAGCGCTTGCTCTCTATCTTCCTATTTCTCATCCTCTTTATCTTCCTCTTTCTCGTCCTCTTTATCTTCCTCTTTCTCCTCATGCTCTCTGTCTTCCATCTCTTCCTCCTCTTTCTCCTCATGCTCTCTGTCTTCCATCTCTTCCTCTTTATATTCCCCTCCAGTCTCTTCATCCTTGTCTTGGCCAACACTGTCTACCTCCTGCTCAGCTTGTGCTACACCCTCCACAATATGCGAGGCTTCCTTACCAATAATGCACACATCGTCATAATCGAAACAATCGACATCGTCACCCTTGCCAATGTTGTCAACACTTCTTTTCCTCTTCACATGTGCAACCCTTGTATGCCTATCACTCTTGGACATAATCTCCTCCACACTTTTCTTCAGGTCCTGGGGATCAATCAGGTCAGCAGTTCCTTCGTAAAACTCCAATTTCCCTTTCAGCCTATGTATCTCCTTAGAACAAGCATCCCATTGAAGGCGCTTACTACGCTTTGTGGCATGGAGCAATTTCCAGTTTAATTTGGCTGTATTCCTCCAGAACTGAATTTGCTGATCAAGGCTCAACTTCTCTATTTCATCTTCTTTGTCAAGCGCGTTCTTGATATGCTGGGAGACAATCTGGAAAAATAACCAGTAAGTTACAAAATTCAACCATCATAAATATGCTAGCAAATCAGTAAAAGATGATTGACGTTTACGTATCCTACGGATGAGCTATTTTGTCTGCCCTTCACCCTCGCTTGCTTCTCATCCTTTATGTTTTCTTTCTTCTCCTTCACTCTGGGCAATGAAACCACCATAGCTTTACTCTTATCTGATACAGCAAGGATCCTTTTCTTCCCAAGGCGAGCGCTACTAATATTCTTCCCGCTGGGCTCCCTTTGAGGGTATCCCCCCCCCCCCCCAAAACTCGTTGAATCAGGTTTATCCTTAATCTTAATGGTTGCTTTTTCTGCCTTGGAGACAATTGTCTCCCTCCTCATCGATCCAGACGTCCCTCCGACCCTTACCCAGTTGGTCAACGGCGGCTTCCATCTGATGTTTAGGGCAGGTTTTCTAATGCATGTCATCTCATAGAACCATAGCTGTCAAAATAGAGGCAACAATTATTTATCATTAATTCCCTGCACATCAAAACTCCTTGTGCAACTTCATTTCTTCGTAGCTAACTTTCACTATAATAAGTTAACTTTTATCAGTACTGGTTATATTTCACTTAAACATGTTAACTTTAAGGTCTCCATGTTAACTTTTAATTTAACATGTTAATTTTCACCGACACTGGTTAACATTCAAAATTGCATAAGTTACATTATCTAATATCGGTAGCCAAAACTCTTTAAATATAAAACAAATGTTAAACCACATATGAACATGCAACTTACAGGGATGAGCGGCATGCATCCAGGTACGTACGTAACCCCTGGCTTCCTCAACCCTTCAACGGCAA